AGCAATAAACTGCTTGTTGCGAAGCATAATTTGTATGTAATATGTAAATATGCAATATTTATAATATAGTAGGTAGGTCACCTAGGAAATAAGGCAAAGGGTACTTACGATCTGTCTCATCATTTATTGTGGTTGCTTTTCTGTGGAGCTGTACATCTTTGTAAACTATGTACTAGGAGCGGTCAATAAGATTTATTAAATAAATATATACTTATATCCTTGCCGATATTAGTAACATCAAAAATAAATACAAGTTGTAACTTATCGTACAGCCGTAAACACAAACTCGGGTGCTTCCAAGTATTGTATTTACGATCGGGAACAAATAACCGGGCGGCGGGCCGGATCGAAACAATGAAAAATGACCGGCGGAAAATTGCGCGGATTCAGGCACAATCCGCCACGACGCGACCTGTGCTGGCCTGCTTAAGAAAACCACTGGGACGGACTAGGGGTGATTATTATTTTTTTTTACAAAAACAATTTTTATAATCTTTGTTTTCATTGGATGTCATTTACGATAAATTAAAAATTGATATCGCTGACATACATATAAAAATGCAGTAGAAAATGATTCGTTGCTCTGTTGTCTGTGTGGTATCTTAGGTGTCTTCTAAATTTGTATTACTAATTTGCATTCAAAGAATACCAAATGTTAATATGTGTTAAATAGCGATGAATCTATAATTTCTTTACTATATAAGCTTTTACTATTACCCAACAGTGGGAATTTAATTAAAACGTCGTATTAAGTCGTAAGCTTTGTTGTTTCAATTAAATATGATAGTACGTAACACCCTTTTAAGTACTGATTGCAACACCATATTGTCAAAACATATTGTTTCAGTACATTAAATTTCCTCCAAGCACTCCGCACCTGTGCGCCGCCACGTCGCCCGCGGCGGCCCTGTCTCGTCGCGCACTCTATTTTCCTATTTGCGCGGCAGATTGGCTCTGATTGTATTGTTTGCGGGGCGGGGCGAATTGATACCTACCCCGCCGACGCCACCGGTACGCCCCTGGTGCACCCGCGCGGAAAAACGCTATCAACCAATGTGTGGTCGGTTTACGATAAATATTTGAACAGTTCGATATTTGAAATTGTTTTCAAGACGGTTTTTTGTGGTTACTCTCCGTGGTGAACTCGTTCATTATATGTTTAAGAGATGTGTTTTATTCTCATTAGTATTTCATGTTATTATTGAGAATGTTTACTCCAATTATAATTACGGTTGTCAATATGATTTATTGATCATATTCTGATATAAAATTTACGTTTAAAATCAACGCTACAATATGAAACTAATATATTAAATGAAAATATATTCCTATATACATAATAGTAAATGTTACAAGAAAAATGAGTTAATAAGCAAATGGTTACGTTTACATATTATGTAAACAAAGAATATAAACACGTATAATATATAAATAGTACAATACAGATTAAATATTAATTCGTACTTTTATTAAATAGATGGTCATTCGATTCGAACTATAGTCGACGATTCCCACTTTTAACAATTGGTCTGCCATTTTAGATTATTTAAACAAGGATAAAATTATTGCCCTTACGAGTATAAATCTAAATATCTAATTATTACAGCAACAACAAATAATAACATAACAACAGTTTTATGACAAATAACATACTTAACATCCAATAACTAAAGAATACAATACGAGAAAATACAGTAACACGGAACAATCTGTCGAGTTATCTCTCGTACCGATTGACAATATACCCAATATAGCGTGGCGCGGGCAAATCTTTACGGGGCCGTAACGCGTCAACCCGACGATAACTTTTATGAGTGCGAAATTGTGTTTATGCGGGTGTGTGTTGCGATTTACCGCCACCGCGCCATCCACCGCCACCGCCACCGCCACCGCTCGTGCTATAGCGTAATCGGAAATATTGCGGCGGAACGAAGTTATGGCGCGGCGCAAGTTGTAAGAGCTCGGCGAGTTTGAATTTTGTTTTGTTGTACGTGAAAAATTTGAGGTAGAGACTGCGTTGTAGAAAAAAAGTACGTTATATAGAGCAATAACGGTGGTCACATGTTTCTAATAATATAAAATTAATGATTTTCTAAAATCTAATTAAACACTAAGAAACATTGATTATAATTGTAGGTCTCAGTTCACTACATTTAGTAAAAATGTTTTTAATTTAGGGTAAAAACATGACGTATTAAAATAGCGTTATTTAGGTCAGTTGATATACTTAATTGCATTTTGTAATTTTTTAATACACTTTATTCGTGAATTTTAGGGAAATCACGAATAAACTGTAAATTTAAAGTCTAAATTTAAATAAAATATAGCCCAAATCGTAGATAATACAATTGTTTTAATCCACTTACGGCTGTAATTAAATGTTTGTGTTTACATATTAATAGATAGATTAAATATGGCGGGAGGAGTTAACAAAAAACAAGATTATAAAACAGTGGTTATCATAATCATTATCATCATATTAGCCGTCTGCCCATTTGTCCACTGTTGAACATAGGCTTCCCGTATAGACTGTCATAAGAAACGGGGCTGTTCCTTATGGCAGTTTCTATTGGGAGGATATCGCAAGTATTTGCCACGCTTGGCAGGCGGATTGGCAACCGCAGTTTGGTTTTAGTGATGTTTTAAAAGGGACGCTGCTGCCAATGCCTCGACCATTTAGTTCACGTACGCCTCTTACGACACTCACAGGAAAGGACAGGACGGCCCATTATATGCCAGAAGCATACGACAAGAAGTTACAAGTTATTAGTTAGATAGATAGATCGTTTATTACTTGCACCAGGTTCTCGTTTCAGCGTCTCGCGACTCGTATTACTGTGGATCCCATTTCACCCGTGTCGCCTCTAACAAACTAGTAATTGGTTTGCTATCGCCCACTCTACTCAAAAAAATCATATCGTTTGCCTATCTCCTTACTTTCTTTATTTTGTTCTCTTTTACACCTTTTCCTTTTGTGTTATTCTCCTTTACCTGTGGTACTTTATTTGAAACTAGTTGATAGTTTGCAGTACATTATCTCACTCGTGCTTATATTAAGATGCGTGTGTGCTTTTTTATGCTTTATATATATATATATATATATATATATATATATATATATATATATATATATATATATATATATATTTTTTTTTTTTTTTTTTGGCAAACAAGCTGACGGCCCACCTGATGGAAAGTGGTAACCGTCGCCTATAGACATGAGCAGTACCATGGACATAACATATACGTTTTCGCCCATGATACCCCTCATGCGTTGCCATTCCTGAGGACTCAGGTATTATTCTTCTGCACCCTGTAAATTCACGCCATATTCTACCCTTCAAACCGAAACACAGCCACGCAAACACAACTGCTACACAGTTGAAACACGAATGGGACAGAGATACCCAAGCAATCGACTTTTGTACAATTTTTGTATTCCTACATCATGCAAAAACTAATGGTCTAATTTGGATGCAATTTCACAATTTCTATTCGCCACGTAGAAGTGATCTAATTCGTTAGTTTTCCTATTTCTGTAATCCAGTAGCAGTTGGAAGTAGCGGGGAAAATTATAGTGACTAAAACTCATATCTACAGCTGTAAATTTTTTTTACTGATTGATCTCATAGCAAATATGCTAAGACTGTATTATTAATTATACAGGGTGTAATGAAAATTATTAGCGTCATTTTGAGGAGTTATTCTTATAGTGAAATTGAACATATACCAAAGAAACGAGGGTTGAAAAATGACAAAAAATTTACAGTTTTCCATTTTTTTTTATACAACTTAGAATGGTAAACAAGCTGACGGTCCACCTGAAGGAAAGGTATATTAACATATATAAGTATAACAACATAAGTAACAGTACTTCCTACTTCTGACACGATGCATCTAGGTTTCAATTTAGTATTAGAGGCTTACGTCGTTTTTAAACTCGTACTTTTTTAAAAAAAATATCCATCTTCATTGATTGAAAATCTTCAATGTTGACTTCGATTTCACACCTGTACAACATTAAGAAATATGTTAAATAAAATGAAAGTATTTTTTAACCAAGTAAAATTTTATAATTAGATTTTTAACATTTAATTAGCGTTTTTGAATAGTCATTTTTATGAATATACCGCCCAGTTCACGAGTATGACGGATTAACAAGATATCGTTGTGTACAACCGTATCATAGGGAGTCCAACAATCCGCCCGTTAAACTAAGCTCAGAATGTAACGCCGTGTCGAGTAACACTCGTGTTGGCTCCATAACGAGGTATCGCCGCCACATTCGTCGCTAACGAGGTCTGCTTTGCTTCGCTCTAGGCACACCTTACTAATTGGACAGTAAAAACGTCTATGGGTTTCCATCTTCACTTGTTATGACTACGCCAACAGTGACTTATATATCAACTAGCTGACCTTGTTTTACTTTTAACTATTTCGTAAGTACACATTTTAAGGCTCAAGTCAGAGTCGCGCTCACTTCACAACGGCTCGTGATTAAGTATCACGAATTGATCCCGAAAGTAGTCGAGGTTTCTCAATCTAATTACACGTAAGTTAAACTGGTAGTTATTACATTAAAATATGACCTTGTTTAGACCTCCACCGTCACCTACTGATTTTATTTTTTTCCTATTCCAGAAACAAACTATCCGATCTCTCGAGTAGGAGCAAACAATACATGAAATTTTATTCAAAACATGAGTAATTTCGGAGATTAATGTGAATGAATGTTGCCACTCATTTATTTATTTCAGGTTTCTATTTATTTATATGTTGCCAAACATTACTCGATTTTAATGCAAATATACTTATGCAATATATATATATATATATATTTTCTATCGATGTTGTATTTTGTCCAAATTTGACACACCTCACTAAGCGTATAGTAAAAACGTCTATGGGTATGCATATTTGCCATTTACTTGTTACATTGTTTGCAAAAATGTTTGTATTAATAACAAGTATTAAATAAATGTCTTTTTCATTTGTTTTAGGTTCATAAAGACTTCTTCGGACGCATAGTACCTATTTCACAAGTTCAACGAAGTGGTAAGTTAATATATTATTACACTATACATAAAATGAAAAGCTTTAATCATGACAGAATTAATATAGCATTGACAAAGGAAAACAAGTAATTGCAAAAATAACTCAAAATCGATTCTAAATTGATAAAAATATTCTATAACACCCATACATACATGCTCGCACACTCACACGGTCACACACACACACGTATTTACACACGCGCACAAACATACACACACGCACGCACACACGCACGCACACACGTACGCACGCACGCACGCACGCACGCACGCACGCACGCACACACACACGCACGCACGCACGCACACATGCACTCACAAGAATATCTGTATGTTACAGACGAATTGAGAAGCTCCTCCTTTCGCTAAATATACGGCCAACCATTGTAACTGGCAAACTTACAATAGAATATGGCCCGCTATTATCACATGACGTTAATCACACGTCGAGTTACAGCCAAGCCTATTATTTTCAATTACCCGCGCACCCGAAAGGGTTGTTAATATTCATTTAGCCGACACCCGCCCGGGAATCGAACACCTGATCTCGCCCACCACCCCGCAAGATAATCGCTCCGCCTAACTGATTGTCTACCATTTTGATATTAATCGCGTATAATTTGGTCGCGCGGATGAGAAATTTTAATAGGCGCCGTCTAATTATGTTCTACTTAAGACTAATATTTTAGTACTAGTAACTCATGACGGGTTCGCCCGTGAAACTATAGGCAATAAAATAAGTGACAAGTACAAAAAATGCCATTTAACATTTTGTTTTACAAAAACATAGACTTCATATCAAAAATAAGGCCACCAGTATTGTAATTTTTCGTTGAAAAAATAATAATAAAAATCGGTTTGAAATCATGTAAGGTTCGAATTTAGATATAAAATTAGCATAGGAGATAGAACAATTAAAGCATAATAAAATTAATTAATACATTATTTCGCCTATTTGAAGTAACAAAGTAAAAAAATGTAAAATTATTTTTTAATTAGTGCTTTAATTGGAGTGTAATGTGATAATGAAATACTTGAAGGAACATTTATATTTCCTTATATATTCTTTATTACACATGTAAATAACTTAGATAAAAAAAAATTGTGAGCAAGGGTGTACTTACGAATATATCTGAAAGAGATCTCTTTCAGTCAACCCAATACAGTTAAAAAGTATGTCGTTAGCGAACAGCTAAAGTGCACGAGTGCTGTACGAACAACTTCAATACTAATCAATATTTAACCTAGAAATAAAGAGTTATATCGAATATTAATATGTATTATAATATTAAATAAATACATAAATATAATACCTGCCTACTTGTATAATAAATGTTAAAATAAATATATGTACTACCTACATTAGAAACATTTACTGTGATTTTTTTTAATGGATGATAATCGAATGGTAACCCCACCCGCGCTAACGGTATACACTAGCGGGGCACCAGTGAGGAATGATAGGTGAGGATAAAGCAGGTCAGTAAGCCCATCGTGACGAATTCAATTATAAATCAATCACGATGGCTTCCAGGGGAATCGCGTAGAGGTCGACCTGATAGGGTATATTGCTAGCAATGGGGCTACGAAACCCCATTATTAACAATCCCTTCTCCCCCCTTTACTGTGATTTATGATCTTTGTGTAGGATATGGCAGTGTAATTATAGTACAAGGAGGCCTAACATCTTTATTGTCAAGAATGGCAACGCATGGTACCACCAGCCGTCACTGTAAATTCTGTAATGTCAATAGGCGTTCATGTCTATAGGCGACGGTTACCATTTACCATCAGTTGGGCTGTCAGCCTATTTGCCATTTCAAATAACATTAGCTATTGAACAATATTTTTTATATCTTTAATTCTCTTCTTTTGATGCTTAATGAATCAGACTAATAAAACTAGGTCATAATGCCCTTAATTTTTTTTTTGTTATTTAATTTTCAACATTATACAATACAGTCTACAATAGTATACCTCCTTGAAGCGAATCGGCTCTCCTCCCATCGTCCGCCCCCCCACCCCCTCCCCTACTTCGCAATTCTCGTTAAGGTGACTGTTTAATAATCTCAACGCGATTTGTAATGGGATTGAGTGGAAATTCGCTCGACGTCTGAATCCATATTGTTACTACGCAGTACAGTCGGACATGCAATATTTTAGCAATATGTGTGTTAAGTTTATATAAAAAAATGAAGTTAACGTATTTACAGTAAATTTATTTTTTGATTTCATGCTAATTGTACATTTTGTACCATAAAAAATACCGACTAAACGTGGTAAAACTTGTTATTTTAATTTTAAAATTAAATGATTGGATTGATTTTGATAAAATTTCTATTGGACCAATCAGAAAGTATATTCTTTTAAATAAAAAAAACCACTATTTGAGAACCTACTCCTTTTTTGGAGTCGGTTGAAAATTCATACAAATGGATATTGTTCCACAAAAGAAAACAGCTATTTTAATGAACAACGAGATGTTGATGGTGATTATATTTATAATACTTTATAATGCAAAATGAAATTTAAAAAAATACTGTTTTAAACAATTTTTATATTAACGTTTCCATTCAATTACAAATATTCGTAGCATGGCATGCGTAGCTGGTCTACAGTTACGGTCTACGAGCAAACGTAGCTAGTCTTACGTAGAGCCGCTACGTAAGTCTACGAATATTTACGCGTAAACCACTATACGTTTTCTTTTATTTTAATCTCGCACTTATTTAAATTCCTCGTATTTGTATAATAAGAAGTGGTATATTAGGAAAGCATAACCTTAATTTTGTTATAAGATGGAAGTGTTAACTGTATATTAACAAATATAGTGAGCATGTAGGTATGATTACAAATAATGGTGATAATGATGCGTTGTAATTAATAATTTTTATTTTTTATATTAAAACGCATACTACGTCATAGTCGTAGAATACTGACGGATCTGACAAATATTACATAAAAAGATCCGTCAGTATTCTTCGACTATGACGACTACATAATAAAATTTTGTTGGGGGGGGGGGGGGCTAAGTAATTGTTAGTGATAAGGTTTAACGGCCTCGTTGGTAATAATCGAGCCAATAGTTTTGTAAAAATGAAAGAATACCAATATACCAATAAAAAATATTACCATTACCAGAGCACCTCTGTTCCATTCGTGTTTTTACCGTGAAGCAGTTGTGTTTGCATGGCTGTGTTTCGGTTTGAAGGGTGGGATATGGCAGTGAATTTACAGGGTACAGAGGAATAACACCTGAATTCTCAGGAATGGCAACACATGGACGTTATCATGGGCGAAACAGTATACTCTGTTATGTCCACGGTACTGCTCATGTCTATAGGCGACGGTTACCACTTTCCATCAGGTAGACCGTCAGCTTGTTTGCCATTCTAAGTTGCATAAAAAAAAAAGTATAAAAAAAAAACAAATTACAAAAGAGTTTGTAACACTGAGTATTTTAACGAGGTTATAGTTCGAACTTGTTTCAAATGTCAAATAATAAATAAAATAAATAAATGATCTTAAAACTATGTCTCATTGTACAGACAGCAGCCGAAGTTGTAATGAGGGCCCGTTGTTTAAACTAATTGTTGGAGCGCTGCCGGCGGCTCCCCGAAATTGGTTTTGCTGTTTGATTTCTCGGCGATTGTTAATATTCTCATTGTAGTACGAATCCATTCGGATTATCACGATTATTGTTCATTAGTTGTAGCCCATTCCTCTATTAATACAGATATTTGCGAGATGAGATAGATTTCGGGTTTATGTATGTACGAAATTTGGTTATTATATTAATTTCGTATTGGAATATTTCTGATGAGAGCTAACAATTGATTTTGTTTTGTATGTATTTCCCCATTTTGGGTTAAATTGAGAATCTTTGGCAGAAAGAATAAAATATTTGTAATCCCATATTGTGTTAGCCTTTTCAATTTTTTATACCAAAATGGCAAAAATTAGACCAATCGATTAGATATAATTTTCATTTCCAGTATGAGTCTCTTATACATGACGCTGGTAGAAATTGTCGTAAAAATAGCGACGAATTGGCATTGATGAAAAAAAAAGTAAAACCACTGTCATATCTCCAAATAATATAGAATCAAGTAGATGCCCTCCCCTGTCTGTTTCTTTCCTTACTTTTTTCCATGCAACACATTTTGATACGGGGTTTCACTGTTACTTTGATATTTTTTACAAAAGGTTTTTATGAAATTATCGTAATTAACCTTAAAAATTTTAAAGTAAGTCTAAATAAATGGATGGGCTGAATTATGTTCCAATAAGGTACAATAGTGTTCCCCGTCTGGTACCGGCATAGAATGGGTCACCTCTTGCTTTACCGTAGGTGTCGTAAGCAGCGACTAAGAGAACTTATTGGTAGAGGGCAAGCAGCAGTGTCCTTTTTTTAACATCACCAAACCCTAACTGCGGTTGCTAATTCACCTGCTAAGCGTGACAACTACAAGCAAAACCCTCCTTTTGGAGGAGGCCTATGTTTAATATGGAAATAATATGGAAAATATGGACAGTTAACGGTAAATGTAGTATGCTAATGTTTTTTTATAAGTAAATAAAGTCAATGTTTTATACCGATATAGCAATAATCTGCGGCTTCGCCTGCGTGAATTAATATATAAAATATTCTACGTTACATTAGGATATAGCCTATCTGTATAGCAAATTTTAATTTAAATTAGTTTAGTAATTTTTGCGTGAAAGAGTAACAAATATTTATCGTATATATAACATTCTCAAAAAAGCTTTCACATTTATTGTAATAGTAGGGTTGCATGCAAAGTCGGGGCATGTTGCTAGTTTATAATCAGTAACGCTGGTCTCCGCTCATCACATAATTCTAAACATATATCTATTGTAAATCTGTATGTACAAAATATAAGTCGTTCCAGCCATTAATATGTCGTTTACATACCGGGGTACGGGGGCCGGGGCGCGGCGGGTAGGCGGCACAATACAGTACAATTAACTACAGCAAACAGCGACCCTCGCCCCCCGTACCAACGTTTTGTAATTACGGTACACACTTGTGCGAAAGCTGATTACGTAGTCTATGTAGCTAACAATTATATTTAACCTTCTATATAAAAGACTAGGTTATACCCGTGACTTACGTCGCGGGCTATGTTCATTGACCGCGACAAGTGGTTTGTTCTTCATCTTATGTAGTACCAATATATCAAATTTCATAGCGATTGGTTAAGTTGTTAAAGCGCTAAGAGATAACAAACAAACAAACTCACTTTCACGTTATTATAAATGTAAAAGTGAGTTTAACTAGCTTTTTGGTCGTTGCTTCGTACGCGTGGATTGGAGAATTACAAAACCAATTAAATCTACCACTTCTGAATGGCGTGTCAATATGAAACATACACCAAATTTTAAGATAAACCTTCAGGAATACAATTGTGAAAACAGTATCCAATTTGGTGCAGTAGTTTTAGCATGAAGGCAGAATAAATATACCAAAAGACAGACAAAATTTCTAAAAATATTGTTATGGTATTTATTCGTTTTATACCCTTTATATTATTTTTCTTTAAATATCTCTCATGTACAGATACTTTTTAGTTACTACATACAATATCAGCCGTTAACGGTCCACGTTTGAATATAAGCCTACCCCATAAAGGGGGGTTTTATCAGTAGTTGCCAGGCTTGGCAAGCGGGTTGGTGATCGCAGTTGAGTTTAGTGATGTTTTAAGAGGGACACAATTGCTCATTCCTCGACCATTGAATGCCCTTAGTCACTTTTTACGACACCTATAGGAAAGGAAGAATTAACCCATTCTATGTCTGTGCCGGTAAATAGGATTTAAATGAATAGAATGTTTACAATAAACTAACTTCCATGTATTAAATGTTTGAAGTATGTGGGCGACAAAGGAAGCCAGGAATGGAAATTGGAAATATTGGAGATATGTATATGTATATTGGTCAAAGAAGACTAGGGCCGTGAAGGCAAGCCAAAAAGAAACATAGCACCTCTATTATGTCAATTTCGAATTTGGAAAGTAATAATATAAAACTATAAATAATATACATGGCCTGTACTCCACATAATGCGAATCTTTACAAAAAAATCGACTGCCTAAATTTATTTTTGTCAGAAGCCCGTTACCGGATTAGATTGCACCACGTAAGAGCCCATATATTCAAACGCGACGCACGTTACATTGTATAATTGATATTAACTACGTTGTATGGACGTGTTAATTGTTAAAACGCATCTGGTACACGCATTATACAAATGACATCTATACAGAATGTGTGTAGATATAAAAAAAAAATACTAAAATGTCCTTAAAAAGGTATGAAAATTGTTTACTTGCATTTTAACATTTTTAGGGTCGTGGAATCGGAGTTAGTGAAAACGAATCAATTACAATAATAAAAAATTCGCACTCTTCGTCTCTTCTTAAGCGACTTTCGAAATCTATAAAAATTGATAAAAATAAATATCAAACGAATCCAGTAATATGACAAAAAATACGCACTCAATGTTTAAGCGTCCTTCAAAATCTATGAAAATAAACAACATTTTTTTTTGTTAATTCTCAATTCGTATGTATATAACTCGATATTTTAATCATTTTTGAGTTGCTATTGATTGTTCTTTTTGTAATTGTTAGTGATTATTTCCATGTTGATTCAATGTTAATTTTGTCATTATTATAACGATCATTTCAATACCTGATATGTTCGTTAATTATGAACCGATTTTGTTTATACTTTTTGCAATCGGTAATAGGATTCTTCGATAATTACTAACCGTGTGGTCCCGCCATCAAATGAGCCACCTCTTCCTTTCCCGTGGGTGTCGTAAGAGGCAACAATGGGAACTAAATGGTGGAGGGATGGGCTACAGCGTCCCTCTTAAAACATCACCAGCCTTACTAACCCAACTGCCAATTGTGGCAACTACTGGCAAATCCCCCCAATAGGGGCAGGTCTATGTTTAGCAATGGACAGTTAGAGGCTGATATGATGAACACGATTAACCTTGTAGGACTCGTGTTAGTTTTGTCAAATTTTTTTTTATAAGTTGAACTATTAAGTATTATGAATATATCCATTGAGTGTCTTTCGAGTGTTAAATGCTTTAATTATTAAATAATGAAATAACTGTTTCCCACTATTTAATATTGTGTAGTACTACAGGATATGTACCATCATTTAATGTTTGTTTGCGCAGACGCAGTTCCCGACGTGATATCATCAAGCAGCGTGTTCTACCAATACAGGGAAGGATTCAACAACGCGGTGCGTCGCAGCGTTCGAACCAGAGACATGCTCTAGCCGTAGACACATAGTTTGTTTCAATAAAACTTAATGAAAATGTAAATAAACTAATAATTAATCCGACCATAAGGTAATCTGTTGATGTCAAATAGTAGTACATATTTAAAATCACTCGCCGTGTAGTCCCGGCATAAAAAGAGCTACCCCTTCCCTTCCTATGGATGTCGTAGTAGTCGACTAAGGGGCCTTAATGGTCGAGTGGTGGGCAGCAGCGTCCTTCTTAAAACGTCACCAGCTTAACTGCGGTTGCCAATCCGTATGTCAAGCCTAATAACTACTGGCAAACCACCCTAATAGGGAGAGACGTATGTTTACTAGTGGACAGTTAAAGAATGATGATGATTAAAATCGATTAATTGTTCGACATGTTGGTAATTGCAATTTTGAGATTATTTTTGTAATAGTTTCAACAAAACTTAGTTGACTTTTATTCAGTTTCAATGAAGCAGGCTTATAATTTGCATATTAACGTTTTGTAAACTGAAACATTTTCCTTTAAAACTATGTACATATAATGTTTGTTATTCTGTAATACATACAATTTTGTTTTGTTTTTAGCTGTAACATACAACACTGTTGTTTTTTCTATTCATTAAAATTTAAGATTCAAATAGTCTTATTTAAATAATTTAAGATTTAAATAAATAAAAAAAAACCGACTCAGTTGTGGCAAAGCAAGTTTTTTTTTTATTTAAAAACAAACTATTGAACCGATTTTGATGAAGTTGCTTTGATAATTTTTATATATATTTGTATTTTATTTATATTTCTTATATTAAATATCTAGTGTATCCTACACTTACAGATTAGTCCAAAGAAATATTATATATATATTATATATATGAAAGAATTTTCCAAATCCGTTCGTAACTAAAGCAATTATGAGGTATATAAAATATGGATATGACAGTGAATTTACTGGGTACAGAGGAATAACACCTGAGTCCTCAGGAATGGCAACGCATGGGGGGTATCATGGACGAAACAGTATACTCTGTTATGTCCATGGTACTGCTCATGTCTATAGGTGACGGTTAATACTTTCCATCAAGTGGGCTTTCAACTTGTTTGCCATTCTAAGTTACAAAAAATAAAAATAAAATAAACCTTTTTTTGAAGTCGATTGAAAATCTACCTGTAAAATTAAAGTCAGTTTAAAACAACAGACAGCAAACAATACGAAAGTCAGCCGCGAACTCAAGTTGTATATATTTGCAGGGAAACGTTGAAGTCTTACTTTATTGGGCAGTAAATTGTAAACTTGCGTTAGTTAGCACACGGAGACGGCGGCGCACCTGAGCTTGCTAACTTTGTTCGTAAATCGTCCACGATAGAGATGTATAGATATAATATTACAACTTACTACATTCTCGCCCCGGCTTCGCATGGGTTTTTCCAAACTTCCATAATCCACGCATACAAATATGCAAAGCTAGTACAAAATAAATACAGTGAATTATATTCAAACGTTTGTTTTCCTTATCGTTTAAATATTTAAACATGTTTTAAACAAGTATACAAATACGTGTTACGTTTGTTGTACATTCTAGTGGAACTTTATTCGGTGTACCTTTACACTCGAATAGCTAAAAATCTGTTATATACCTGATATATATTTTAAGGAGATTAAAATAAATATGTATATTTTTGTGTAATCATGTCTTTTATTTCATTTAGTAGCTTTGTTCATACATAGATATATGCATGTCCCAGTGGGCAACGTGACAGAAAATGCAATGCAATTTCTTTTAAGTTGTTAGTGTACTTGATCATACAAGTCTAAAAGTAACAGCTCATACATATCGTTATTATAATAATAACGAAATTGGAATAAATATATAAAAATATCAATTGTATATGTGTTTTAATAAACTAACCTTTATGTTTCCTTAATTCTTCAATACACCGACTACATCCGGTGTTAAGTTCGTCAAGTGTACATATATTCACACTCTGCATAAAACATTAAATAAATAAATATGAAGTATATTTTTATTTATCTTAAACTACTTACCTTCGGTTTTGTGTGGCCTCAAGTTTCCCCTTTAAGCTGCAATTTTCAAAAATCTTTTTGTACCGTATGCTAAAGCTATAGAACAGGGGGAAAGGGATTGTTAGTAATGAAGAGTGAGAATCCCATTGCTAGCAATTTGCCCAACCAGATCGACCTCGTCGCGGTTCCCCCTAGAAACTATCATAGTTAATTCCTGATGAATTCATCATGATGGGCTAATTGGCCTGTTTTCATTCTCATCTCTCACCCTTCACTGGTGCTCCGCCAGCGTATTCTGTTAGCGCAGGCGGGGTTACCATTCCATTTTCACCCATCAGAAAAAAAGCTATAGAACAAACCTATTTTACAAATTTCAAATTTTCCAAACTTAGTAATTATGGTTGTGTGTTGATAGCCAGTAAGGACAAACGATTTTAAAAATAAAAACTCCTACATTCAGTCTAAGCCGACTAATCTCGTGATGCAGCTGCAGACTTCCAAGACTACGACGCCATTTTATAATAAACTCTGTTCATAAATATATCAACTGTTATTTAAAGGTACCCGAGATTCAGAATGAATTGTGGTAATCATAATTTACAACAAAACTTGGTGAGGTGTGGTAAGGCTTAGAATGTAAAATATGAAAGAACTTAGTTATTTATAGGTAGCTACAATTTACAATAAATGTAATGGAATGAGTTTTGTGTATCGTTTAGATTATTTTGCAGTCGTCATGTAAATTACTCTTAAAGCCACATTTATGTACCTAAACAATTATAGAATTTTAAATTAGAAAATCCAAGTTTCAACTTACGTTATTTTAGTCAAGAATGCTCGACTGCTTTCGTGACTACGACACCTTTAATTATAGAATTACCTAGATTTTTTTTTATACAACTTAGAATGGCAAACAAGCTGACGGCCCACCTGATGAAAAGTGGTAACCGTCGCTTAAAGAAAGGGAAAGGAATTGTTAGTAATGGAGACTGAGAATCCCATTGCTAGCAATATACCCAACCAGGTCGACCTCCTCACGGTTCTCCCTGGAAACTATCATGGTTAATTCCTGATAAATTCATCATGATGGGCTAACTGGCCTGTTGTCATTCTCATCTATCACCCTTCACTGGTGGTTGGTTACCATACCATTTTTATCCAGCATATGTTCGCGTCACCCGTCATAACGAGTTGAATCCAGGAAAATATTCATTTTATCTTTTGCTCAGAAGTTAATCATAAACTTCGTGCTATAAAACACGACGATATCATGCTAGATTACAAAACTAGTATGCTATCGAATGCAAGAAGAATCATCTTAGTCGATGCAGAAATTACAAAAATATAGCATAACGTAATGTCATATACCGTCGTACTGAGGCCTTTTTTTAAATTAATCTTGTCCGACAGAGTGACAGAGAGCGGAACAGTATAAGGTTTTAACTTTATAAGGCTCGGCCCCCTTAAAATAATAAAGAAGTAAATAATATGATAGTATTAATTATGCAACAATCACTCATGATTAAGGATTACGAGTTGATCCCTAATCTAAATTAACTGAGCTTTCTCAAAATATATAATAGTTTGGCTTTCGCTAATCTTTAATTATAATATCATTGGAACTGACTGACTAATCAATACACAACTAAAACAAAATGTTTAATATTGAAATTTGGTACATAGGGTTATTATACAAAGTAAGCATCCGCTGAGAAAAGATTATTGAAAATTTAATTTAATGGAGAACCACGTTATTTTCTTGTTGAATTCATCACGATGGGCTAACTGACCTGCTTCATCCTCACCTATCATTCTTCACTGGTGCCCCGCCAGTGTAAACCAATAGCGCGGGTGGGGTTACCATTCCATTATTATCTATTAAAAAAAAATCTTAGAGAGAATTTATAAATGACTGATTTAATTTTCATTGCTTGAAACACGTTCTGTTCAAATTAGAAATTTTCACTATTCTTACCCTAAAGACATTAATTGGTCTAATATCAATATTTAAGAAAATAGATCCCATTTTCAGTCGTAAGCCTCTAAATTTTAGATAGTACCTACCTCCGATAGAAAGCAAGAGATGGAGCCCAATCCCGCCCAAGCCCAAGCCCAATCGCGGTTTTAAAATTAATCCCATTTTTTAATGTATCGATACTGGTAAGTGGCTTAGTAAAAATAAATTATTAAATTTTAATTTTCCATTTAAAAAAAAAATCTTATAGGTACTTTTTTATGCAACTCGAAATGAAATGCAAACTGATGGTTCATCTGATGGAAAAAGACGACCATCGTCGATAGACTTGAATTGTACCACGAATATCAGAAATACCTAGTACTTACTGAAAAATACCTGACAGTATATAAAATGAGTGACCACTCATATTGCACCATCTTGAGTACATGCTATTTTTTCTTTGAATCAACCATATATCTTTGTTTTTTAATGGGTGATAATGGAATAGTAACCCCACCCGCGCTATCGGTATACACCGGTGGGGCACCAGAGAAGGATGATAGGTGAGTATGAAGCAGGTCAGTTAGCCCATCGTGATGAATTTAACAATAAACCAATCAAGATGGTTTCTAGGCGGAACCGCGAGGTAGTCGACCTGATACAGTTTATTGCTAGCAAGGGGATTGGTAATCCCCATTACTAACAACCCCTTCTCCTCCTTCAATCATATATAGTGTATGTACATGTAGAGGAATTATCTCAAATTCTTATGTTTTTGTATAGTTTCGCTTGTATATGTTTTGTGTTTAATGATAACTATGGAATGGACGTGGAGGTCGACCTGGCTAGGTATATTGCTAGCAATGGGGCCCGCAGTCTCAATAACTAACAACCCTCTACCCAAGCTTGTGTATGTTATCATGATGTAATGCCTACATGTCGCATATACAACATCTTTTCTGATATTAGAAACTTTAGAAAATGTAATAATAGTCAATTTTAAACTTTCACGTTGTTGACACATTTTTTAAACACAATATCGGAAAACGTCGACAATAAATAAGCAGGTATGTAGGTAATATTTACCTGCAATTTTTCATCGCGTTTGGTCTTGATAGTGTATTTAAAAAATTATAGTCTCTGGTAATCAATATACACGTACCAATATTTAGTGCAAATAATATGCAATATTTGGAGTTATTTGTATTATTGATTCGAGACATGTAGGCTACATGTTTCAAATTGTCTTCGTAACCATGTTACTTTATGAAGGCAAGGTCCCATGTTTAATTTTTAATCGAGTTAATTTATAAAACTTCTGAATTGATTTATACCTGGAAGTTATGCTTCTATTGTATTACCTATTTATTGATTAGTTATATCTCTGCATGTGTATGGGATCAGCTTTCATTATCTTATGGCTTGTCAGCTTTATTTAATTATTCACAGTTTTAAAGATTTTCTTTATGCAAATTAGAATGGCGGTAAGTAAAGAAAGACGGCCCACCGTACTGAAAGAGGTAACCGTAGCCTATAGATATGAACAGTACTGTAGACATAACAGTCTACTTTTTCGCCCGTGATACCCCATGCGTGGTCATTCTTGAGGGGTAAGGTGGTATTCCTCTGTGCCCAGTAAATTCACGCCATATCCCACTCTTCAAACCGAAACACAGCCATGCAAAGACAACTGCTTTACGGTAGAAACACAAATGGCACAGAGGTACCCGAGCAATCGACTTTTGTACAAAGTCTCCCTCTGGTAAGGATATATAGGTAAATATTAAAAAGTTCAAATTGCTTGTTACATAATCGTATATTTTGTAATAATTAAAACAACTAATCAATCACATGTAACTAAGGTACGTATAATATTTATACTATGTTACAATGTATCCGCGCCTACAATTCCACGTTTCGTGCATGGTGCAGTGGTTTTATACCTCTCTCTTTCACACCTATATACAAACAAGGCGCGGACCAGCTTACATATTTAATTTTATTATAATTAGCAAACAGTTTTTGAGATCTTTTGATCATGATTTCAATTAATTACAAATTTTTAATTAATTACACAGAGATAAAAAAATTATACAATGATACATCCAAATTACAAAAAAAAATCTCTTAGCTGTAAGTGGTGGCCATTTTTTTAATTTTCAAATTATCCTACAGCCAAACATGAATTCGTGATGTTAACATAGATAAACAAAACTAATTAAAAAGATATAGCCAAGATAGAACAATTCTGTGTATAATATTATATTTAAAAACAAAAAGTACAATGTTAGAAATATACCAAAATTTATTAGTTTAAGGTGAGTATTCATGGAAACAATCGCTTAGAAATAAACATCACCAACTTCAGTAATCCTATCTAGAACATACTAGATATAATATGGAAGTACGAGACTCTCCTTATGTAATGAAACATGTTAAATCACATGAGCATGTGTGTAGTCAACACTCACCTTTTGACATAGAGTACCCACCAAACATGTATATAGGTATGATACATGTTTAGTGTATGTTCAAGTTTTTTTACATGTAAGTATAGAATATGGTTTTTACTTGTGTAGATAACATAAGATCTTCCACCAAAATATATGTTCTATCTAATCATGGATCAGTAAAATCCAGATAGATTATTTTTATTTTGAAAGTATATTATACAATATAGTAAATAAAAAGACAGTTGATGTGATAAAATTTGCGAAAAGCGCGCCATTTTTAAAGCAGTTTTATCGTTTTTAGAAGCATTGTAGGAAGACACTCTATCTACATGTAATTGATCCACATGTCGTAATTACATGTTTTGTGACCCATGCTTTGGTGGAAACATGGGGTCATATGACATGTAAAATGAATTAGACATGTTATATGTCGCAATACTTAGATAATATGTTTGTAGGTGTTATTCATACTCATATGTACCTACTCAACGAATTGTTCCAAAAATGTATATATCTAATTGTATAAACTATTGAACTATATCGATTTGAAGTACCTAATTATAACTACTTGCTTTATTTACTGATTTATTTATATACAAAACTAATAAACTACAGACAACGTACGAACATCGAATTATTATAATAATTATTATATATTTAATTATTTACACCTGCTTATGCTAATTAATAATAATTAAAAAAAGAAATCACAACAGTTTTGGTCGAATACTGCACTTTCAATGATAAATATTTACAATAACTCAATACTGTTGTTATTATTTATTGACAACGGCTATTTTATAAATATTAGATACAAAAATCAGAACTAATTTCGTGATATTATTTAAACGATTATTTTAACTAGCTTTTACCCGTGACTTTGTCCGCGTGATTGGCATTTATTGATTGACTGGATAAAAAGCATACATTCTTTACATACAACAGTCATGATGTATATATATATATATATATATATATATATATATATATATATATATATATATATATATATATATATATATATATATATATATATATATATATATATATATATATATATATATATATATATATATATATATATATATATAAAAATTATCATAAGCAACTTGGCAACTTGTATATGAACGTATGTAGGTACAAAAGAATCCAAAATTTAGAAATAATTTCACTTTATATAAACGATTAAAGTCGTGTCATTAATTTCGATGAAAAATGTCTCCTTCAAAGTTATTTGAATACAATATTAAAAACAATTTATAAAATAAACTATTAAGCATAACAATTTAAAAGGTATCTGGTGTTAAGCATAACAATACCTGGTATTAATGATAATTTAATCTTTGAAAGTATATAATTTATATCCGTAGAAATTATACCTTATATGGCACAAAGCATTGGCACAATTTTTATGTATGGCACACATATTCACATTAACTTATCACCTTTTTTTTATACCACTGAAATGGCATACAAGCACTGGTAGGTTTTTTTTTTTATACAACTTAGAATGGCAAATAAGCTGACGGCCCACTTCCCGGCTTCACGTTAGAAACACGAATGGAACAGAAGTGCCCAAGTAAACAACTTTTGTACAAAGTCTCCCTCTGGTACCATATAATTGAAAATAACGAAAATAATAATAATAATGAGTGCAAGTATGTTATTTTATTAGACATCAGCAAACTGTATTACGAGTACGGTCGGGTCAATTATTGATTTATTTAAATTTTCAATAAATTCTATTAAAATAAAGACCTATAAGAATTAAAAAAAAAAACTGTTGACAAACTGAGCTTGGCTTTAATCAAGTTAACCACTCGAGGGAATTCTTGCTGGTTTAGAGTGAACTTCAATGTAAAAATAAAATTTCTAAATAATACCAGTATATATTGGCGGATACAAAAACGTAAAATGATTGATTAAATTATATTATTAATTGTGAATAATGATGAAAACTTTATTTATTGTTTCATTTGTACGCTAGTTGCGCTTTGTCACTCTATCACCAGTAGTAGAATAAGCATCATCATCATCATCACATCGGCCGTTATCTGTCATCACCTCACCCATGGAATGCCATAAGGAACGATCTCGAGTCAACTGTATTCATATTCTCTATCTCTCTCTCATCATCACCTTTGAAGTCGTCACTCCATCTACGGGGGAGGGGTTGTCTTACACTACGTTTGCTCGTACGGGGTCGCCACTCAAGAATCCCCATCCCCATCAGTTCTATGTGACCAGCACATCATCATCATTATCGACATCAGCTTACTTGTCGTATAGAATAAGCTATCATTTCAACATTTGCCATTCCTGAGGACTCAGGTTTTATTTCTTTGTACCCAGTAAATATGTTTAAAGTTTCTTTACTTATTCTCCTTTCTAGTATATTTTTGCAAAATAAGTCACACAAGGTGCTTAGGAGGATATGAGACGGACTATGGTTAAAATATCCGGTGACAATAGCGATAGCTGTAGGTGAAGCGACTGTGCTAGTAACGACTGCGACTGGAAACTTGCAAGCGAGTGGAGTAACGTAGCGGAATATTTATTATTTATTAACGAGTATATATCCATCGTCGGAGTTCCGCTATAACAGCATTCTATTTTCAAACATAATGATTGTAACACGATTAATAATACACTTATATTTTCATTGCCTATTCGCCATTATATTTAAAAAAAAATCACTCAAGGTGCTTAGGAGGATCTGGAGCGGACTGTGGTTGCGAAGTATCCGGTGGTAACAACGATAGCGGTAGCGGCGGTAGGTGAAGCGGTAGCGGTAGTAACGCCCGCGACTGGAAACTTGCAAGCGAGTGGAGTAACGCCGCGGAATGTTCATGCGCCTTCCGTCGGAGTTCCGCGACGCTTGACGAGCGGGCTTCTTCTTTTGGGCAACATGGGCACGGGGCACCCCAGCCTATTGAATTAATTATTATTATTTTAGTTATAATAACCAACATACATTATTTCTTATTTGCTACTTAAATGTAAAGTTAGCTCTAAATTCTTTAATAATGTATCTACCTGATGTTGAATATTCAAATTTATATTATATTCATTTTTTATATATATCATCATTTATATTATATCATTATTTATATTATATTTTAATTATAATTTCTTCATAGGGGAGGGGGGGGTAAAGAGGTTTCTTCAGTGTCGGCAACGCACGAGTAATACCTCTGTATTGCAGATGTTCATCAATCACTTACCATCAGGTGGGCCGTATGCTTGTTTGCCACCTCAGTGGTATAAAAAAAATTATATTTTTTACTACAAAATCATGCTATTCTGTAATCAATAAATATCTAATATGAAATCCAAAAAATTGTTAATAATGCAGACTACCAATCCTATTATTAGCAATATACCATGTCAGATCGACCTCCACGTGATCCCCCTTAGAAACCACGCTGAATTGTGTGTATTCATCACAATGGGCTAACTTGCTAAGCCTGACTTGTTAGTAAGTAACTAACAAGTCAGACTCCCTCTAGAAACTAACGTGTTGAACTGCTGGTATTCACAATATGTGCTATGACTCTATGAGCTAATTGGCTTGCTTTTCACTTTTACCTATCATCCTTCATGGTGCTTACGTATACAGCAAGTGTGCTTCTAATTAATGAGTTTAGTGGATTGTAATAGCATAGACAAACCTTTTAATGGGAAAAATGGTTGCGACAAATGGTTCAGGTGCTGCGACAGGTGAGACAGGTGCGGCGGCAAGAACAAGGGGGGCGGGGGCGCGGGCGGCGGCTCCGTCGCGCCTCCTGGTGACGAGCGGAATGCACCCGTACTGCAACAAGAAAGACATTCGTGAGTTGACTAGTTAAACCAATAGAGAAAATTAATTGAAGGAGACCTTATGGCAACCTGCCATGGTTGCCATGGTGCCTGGCAAGGGGAACAGGGATTGCTAATGATGGGGATCTAACAGCTCCATTGCTAGTAATTTAATGTACCAGGTCGATCTCCACGCGGTTCTCCTTGGAAATCACCTTGAACAATTCTTTATAAATTCATCACTCGGTGCTAACTGACCTGCTTTTATCCTACCATCTCTCACTGGTGCTCTTCTAACGTATACCAATAGCATCATCATCATCATCCATTAAAAAATGGCCAATTCCATATCAGATTGTCTCTATGCATTATGATCAGTGACCAAGTCCAAGTTAGTCGTTATATATACCAAGCCAAAATTCAATTATATTATTTGTAGCGTTCAGTAACTTTGCTCTAAGGAACATAGTCGAAACTTTCATACAAACACTTGTCATTACAGTAAATTGAGTACCTTTTTCTTTATGATATTTAGAATGCCAAACAAACTGACGGCCCACTTGATGGAAAGTAGTAACCGCCACCTATAAACACGACCAGTACCATGGACATAACAAAATGCACTGTGACACCCACGGTATCCTTCATGTCAAAATTCTAGACGACTATGGTATTATGCCTCCGTACTTTGTAATAGCTGACCCCGTAAACGTTGTTTTACCACTTATTGCGAAATATAAAAATCGCGATTAAAATACAGGGGTTGATCGTAAAACGATGAAAATTTGAGGTTATATGTATTTTTCAATGCTAAATCATAATAAAATAAAAATGGAAAAATTTGTCAAATAAATAAAAAAAAAATTTTTGGGGGGGTCACCCTTATTATTGAGGGGTATGAAAAATAGATGTTGGCCGATTCTCAGACCTACCCAATATGCAAAATAATACTACAAAATTTTATAAAAATCGGTAAAGCCGTTTCGGAGGAGTTTGGTAACAAACACCGTGACACGAGAATTTTATATATAAGACTAGATAAACTCCTTGAAACGAGTTGCTTAGTTTTATGGATAATATTATATGATTAGCCCCCCTTCCCCTTTATTAATAAAAAATAAACGTCTTGCAAATCTATTTTATCTATTAGAGTGTTTTGTCCCTGTCTTTCAAATTAAGAAATTAGTGCAAAAGAAAAAAACAAAACACTTTTTATAGCTTAAATAGGTTTAAAAGAGGTTCGATTTTTTTTATTAGTTACACTTCTTGCGCTGGATTGCTACTGTCTTTTCTCTTTTCTCCTCTATTCAAAGGTTGTTTGGAAGAGATAGCTTTAGCGAGAAGATTGTCTTTTATATTTCATAAGTGTTATGTATATTCTTTGTATTATTCTTTAAATGGTGCAATAAAGAGTAAATAAATAAATAAAAAATAAAAATGTTTTTATGAATATGGCTAAAAGTTAATATTCTAAATAGGTATTTAACACGAGCATCGTTTGAGTATTCTGTCTCTGACGCCCACTCATATTACACTACCAGCTGTGTCAGTGAAATCCAAATAAAAATGTTTTATTTAAATCAATTTGCAAGTTACTCTTGAACATATATTGATAGACACACTCCGCTTTGATCGGGGCTAACTCGGTTTGCGAGCAACCAACCGCGGCGCGCGGTGTCGCCCGACAAGCTGCTACCACATTTTGTTTTATACATACTTTTTCCTGCGGTGTTTCCCGCACGAAACCCCTCATCGCTTTCCCGTGGAAATTTCGAGGAATCCCATCTATTAAGACGGTATTCTTAAAACAATGTTGCAAGCGTTATTCATAGTGAAATGAAAGCCATTAGCATAATTTTTAAGATTGTTTTATAAATAAAACTTAACATTTTTTCATGAGAGCCGAAAAATAACAAAAACTTAAAACCTCCAACACTTTGTGCAAAATTTCATTTTCCTAGTCAACAATTATAACTGTAGATATAGAATATTCACTGTATATATCCTAGTTTACAGAATAAATAATGTATGTACCTGCCTACATGGAATATTTTATATAATATATATATATATAATATAGTTATCTCACAGAAGTCGGAGATTGTTGGCTAACATAAGGGTGTGTAGCTTCTGGTAGTAATATATAGTACCGTCAATCTTCGAGTGTTTTTTTTTTATGAGTAAAAATGTTATAGTAACTCCACCTGCGCTAACGGGATACGCTGGCGGAGCACCAGTGAAGGGTGATAGATGAGAATGAAAACAGGTCAGTTAGCCCATCATGATGAATTCATCAGGAATTAACCATGATATTTTCCAGGGAGAACCGCGAGGAGGTCGACCTGGTTGGGTATATTGCTGGCAATAGGATTCTCAGTCTCCATTACTAACAATCCCTTTCCCCCCAATCTTCGAGTGTTAGCAGTCACACACATACTAATGGTAGCGGAATTAAAAAAAAATAATTGTAAATAAATGACAATGTCTATACTACTTTATTTGATTACATTACTCAAGTTGACAATAGGTACATTTGATTCAAATAACACAAACGCAATTTATTCCTAAACTACCTACATCACACAGTATAACGCATTCCGCTAGAGGCTAGATGAACACTACATAGTGAACTACAAAATTCAAAAGTACAGCATCGCATCATAGTAACGGAGCGAGCGCGGGCGCGGGAGCGGGTCGGCAAGAGACGGAGACAATGAAATAAACGGGGCTAGGTGTCGCGTCGCTATGGCATTCCCTCAGTGCATACTTGATGTACCGCGACGAGGCAGCGTCAGCGGCGCACAAGGCACGAGCGGCAGCAAGTAAGTTAATCATTATTGTCGAATTATTGGTTGAAATATTTGACGATTGCAGCTTATTATAATGATAATATAAAAAAAGAGAATTTTTTATTGGTCATTAAAGTAGAATCTGCCAAAAAAGAGAGTATGTTTGGTTAGGTCTCTTCTAAGAGACCAAACATACTCTCTTTTTTGGCAGATTCAAATGCATTCACATTACAATTCATGAAGCAAAAAATAATAAGATAATTGTTTAAATATTAAATACGTATAGTAACATAATCAATTTGAGTTAAAATTTAATTTCATCAATATTAAAATACTTATGTATTTCTAAAATTGTCTATTATTTACTTTCATAGTGATGAGATACATAAAGAGATAGTGCAATTTTTTTTATGTACTGTTACTATAATATGCTATATTATACTTGTAATTGCAAAAAATAGTAATTCGTAAAATTTTAAACGAGAACAATATAAAGCTTGAATGTAAACTAAAGAGCCGATATTAAATATTTAATTTAAAACTTCTATTAGTGTCTAAATAATATTGTCTTGATTGAACATTACAAGACGCAATGGCATTATTTGAACATCACAAGACGCAATGCAGTAAGTAAATGAAATAATGAACATTTGATTTAAACTTTAAAAGAAGCGTACAGTAATAGTAGGTGTTTTATTAATGGCAGTAATTTTATAATTTGTTTACATAAACGCTAACGCTCGTGTTTCATACCGCAAATTCCCTCTGGCACTCGTTCAATGGAATCAAAGGATTTGCGTTCATTACACGAGGTAATAATTGATGGGTCGCACCGGGCGGCGCGCTAGGTCACCACAGATGCTGCAAATGCTTTTAGTAAAACTTATAATATTTACCTACTTAAAAACCGACAAAGGAAAATTATAAAGGTCTATCTAGTTAACACCAGAACTCAGTGGATATATAGAACCATGAGATATTTTAGTACTGGCGAGATTAGTTAAAAAACTGTGCTCTGCTACTAGAAACAGTTGGTCTTTGTTCAAAAGGGTTAAGTGCCCTCAAGGAAGGGGTAGGACAGTTTTTATTAATACTTTTTATTTAAATTATACAAATTTTAATGAAGGAAAGCTACTTGTTACATCTAGTGGTATTTTTAACCTACTTCAAAAGTTCACAATTGGGCTGTATTTTTTTTTATGTTTGTTAGTTGATAAGTATGCCAGTTATAAACCGATTTATAAGATTCTTTATCTGATAAGATATACTTATAGATTGGTCACATTAAAAGTTTATCAAAATCCGTTCAATAATTTAGTTTTTAAATCGAAACATGGTTATGCCACAATTAAAGTCGGTTCTTTTTGTCGAACTTAATTTAATTTATTATAGAAAAAATGAATTGAAATTGACTTAGGGCAAGTCGCTAATACTTATAAAATAATATTACTCATAAACAGAATTTATGCGATTCTGTCGCAGTCCAGTAGTGTACCTACTGTCTGCTGCCTTCAATCCCATTACGGCCGCATGGGTCAAGTCGCCTACTTGGCTCTGGTGTAACGAAGCGGACCCTTATTAATTGATTCACGCGGCGACACTCCACCCGCCGGGGACGTTCAGAAAATGTCCGCCTTACAGCTTTACTATGAATATTCAACTAGAGAATTGAAGCGTCGACAAAGAGAATTAATGTACACTTAATACTGTTAATTATTGTTTTGATTATGACACGGCGCTGAAATTGAGTGCTGTTTCACAGTCAATGTTATTATTTTATGTATTATTCAGTTTGCTAACAATAAGTTAGTTATTAATATATTCATGCGTAATAATATAACAGACTTCAAATTTGAAACCTGCGACACAATAACAAGACATACGAGTACGAAGTCTTGAGTTAATACGAAACTAGCGTTCCAATTGTAAAATAATCTCGACGTTTCTACCATAAAGCCTTAAGATAAAAATTTATATCAGTACATAAAAAGATACTGACTGTATTCGGTTTTTTATAAAACAATAGGGTCGATTCTGAAGTTCCGTTTCCTAAATTTATATCTAAAATTACAGTTTCATTTTGATAGTTTAACAAGAGTATTATAACGAAGCAATTGACGTGTTGTCCCGGCATAGAATGAGCCACCCCTTCTGTTCCCGCGGGTGTCGTAAGAGGCAACTAAGTGAGCTTAATGGACGAGAGATGGACAACATCGTCCCTCTT